CAGAATAAAAGATCTTACATTCACATCGACCAGGAGTATGTCGATCCACATCAGCTCTCTGTGGCGCCTGACATTCCTTGCCTGCCAGAAACGGAGGAGCCTGACCTTGAGGGTAGAGGAGCACCGGTCGGTCTTAAGATCGGAAAAAGAAATCCGGGAGTAAGTCATTTGATAGGAAGTTGTGAGAGAGGATGATGTTTTTCAGAGCAAGATTCACACATATTTATATGAAGGCATATATATTTGGTTAAATATACCATAAGATAGAGAAGTATATAAGGTAGAGGGATGAGAACATAAGGTTTAATAAGGGTTAAAAATAAAGCTCTTATCATTTTGGCTAGACAAAATTTAAGGATTCTCTCTCATTTTCATAAGGCATACTCCCTCTATTTTCTATTCAAACTCCCATCTCTTAGTAGAGGATAATTCAAATATGAAGAGCTAGAAGACTATCTACCTATAAGAATTAGTTCAAGTAAGCATTTCATGCTTTCTTTTAGTGCTAATCGTATTTACTAGTACATCAAAAGGGCATAAAGGATCTTTGGAGAAGATACCACCTCCATGTAAGATCTATCAAATTATATATAATTTTTGATCTATGAAGAGAATACATGCAATTAGATTCATCTTTATCCTCTGTGTATTTGAATATAGTTTAAGGTCAAAACTGTAATGGGCTTTGTTAATACATGAACTTGCTTGTGTCAGTTGGCCTGTTTGTGGTTTTAATAATTTGACGACAGAAAAAAATTAAAGACAATTTTCTCACATAGACTTTTAAAATTTTTATTACAAAAATAGATCTTAAAAGTTAAAACGAACAAAATAATATTTTTTTTGTTTTGACTTTTTTGTTGTTAAAAAAAAAATTTAAATGCTACCCTTAAAAACTCCACACTTCAACTCTAAACAAAAATATATATGATTAGTAACCTAAAGGGTATAAGTGTATATATTTACATATTTTGATAAAAAGTCTATTTTGATCATTTTTGTTTTTAAGATATATATTTGTGACAAAAGATTTTTTACGTCGATCCTATAAAATTTCTCAAAACTTAATCTATTTTTTCTTTTGAGATCTAAATTATTAGGAACTTTCTCTTTTCTTTGGCAACACCCATTCTCAAGCGGTAATCGAAATTGAGTTGTTTTGTAGACACATTCACTTCGGCCGAATCTGATCTACATGAAAAATGAGAACATCACTAGTTTTCATTTCCTTGGTAAAACAGTCTACACGCATGGATCTGGCGATATGAGAGATATTGTAACCTGAAACTTGTTTTTTTAAGCATTTCCAATTTGATCTTATATTTGTCTCTATAATAATATTTAAAGTTTTAGTCCACTTTTATTTTTCCTTCTAAAATAAAATTGCTATTTTTTTTATAAATAAGAGAAAATTAGCAATTTTCTAACTTTTTACTCTATAATTAGCGATTGATAATTTAGAGGATTACATTGGAGTAAACTCATTCTTTCTTATAGAATTTTTTATATTTTATAGGTAAAATAACAAAATATTTTGGAGATGATTTAAGAAACGCAGAATGAAACTAGTTCGAAAACACTAGTAAAAAAAAACAAAATAGCTACGGTACATTCATAGCAATTTCGTAGCTATATGAAAAGCTTGCTACGAATAGCTACGAATGTACCGTAGCTATTTTGGTTTTTTTCCATATAGCTATGAATTTGCTACGAATGTGTCGTAGCTATGTTGGTTTTTTTAACTAGTGAAACAAACCCAACTAGTCAACTGAGTTAGTAATATGTTTACCAAATCTGAATAATATGTCTCTTTCTAGTAAAGCTTATAAAAATGGAAATAAAATGACATCGCCCACATAGAGTTATTCCATCTCAAAATGATCTATCTAAAACTTTTTCTAAACAGGTAATCTGAAAACAAATTAGTTTCGGACAACAAATTTGGAACGACACATGATGGGACTATGGAACGTTCCTTCTCGAAATGGACACGCTATTGATAGTTTTGACAAGGGTTGAGGCAGATTGTACAGTGCATGATTACACGTCGTTATATAGGTGCCATTGATAGATTTGGGTATAAAATTAAGCAAAATAATTTATGCTAAGAAATGTTTTACACCATGTATCTTATATTAGTGTATGCTGGTTCTGAGTTTACAGACGTACGAAATATAAAAAAACAATTAACGAGAAAAACAACAAAAGTACGAAATATGATGTGTTTGATTTTGTATTTTGTTATGTACTTTAGTTTGGCAAAGAAGACAACATATGGTGGGGCTTACGTGTGAAGCTCCACAAGAATAGATTTTGATTGGACAACATGCAAAACAATATACATTTTATGATTTCATGGTACACTAATGGGTATGTAAAAATAATACTATCTGTATATCATTGTCTTTACTTTTCTGTATATTATTGTCTATAATTTTGTTTGACTATATTTTAATTCACATGGAAAAAGGTTGATGCATCATTTATATAATTGGTTATAGAATATAACTAAATAGTTAAAACATAAAATTAAATTTAGCGGGATACTAACGGTCAGACAGTTAGGTGGATGACTCATGTACACCTCGGCAGACGCCAGCTGAGTCCTCATCTTCGTCTCTTTCTTAAATTTTCTGGATATATTCCATAAATCTTTTGTAATAAATTGCAGTCTTACATTTTTTTTTTTTTGATAAAAACATTCTTACAGTCTGACTGAACAAAGTTGAATAAAAAGTATAATTTAACTTAATAGATCAACTGGTTAGAAATATAGCTTCTTAATTAATTCTGAGTTTAAACATGGTAATATGTATGTAAATCTTTTATCAAAAAAAAAAAAAAACATGGTAATATGTTTATAACCTGTTTATAATCGTTGTTTCCATTAAACGAAAACTGTTTTTTCCAGAACCTATAGCAAATTAAAAACTAATACTTCAAAATATTGATAAATTAATTGATAGATCTATATCACAATAAACAGATATCTTTTTATTATTTTAAGTTGGAATATTTCAAGCTATAACAATTAAATATAATACTAATGAATGACATTTTAAAATTTATAAAGCATATGGTCCTGTTAATATTTTAAATATATATATATATATAAATTTAAAATATATATTAAAATATATCTTCAGTGTACTTGTTATTCTCTTTTCAAAAACTTCTTGGAGTTTTTCTAATTTTTACTGCATCAATTTTAAAGTTATAAAAATTGTAAAATGTGGTCATTGTTTTTACATACTCACGTTCAGTTATTATTATAATATCATTTTCAACTTCAATATTAAAAATAAAAATAATAACTTCCACAGGTACCATTTCACCGAAATAAAAGAGTAATCTATTAACATATGTTTAACTGAAATAACCAATATTAATCATGACCTTAAAAATCGTTTACATAAGCGGATTCATTCTGAATTCTTTGATATTGCATGCTCATATCCTTGAATGAATCATGCATTGTGAAAGAAATTTACTGTTAAATTTAAGTGTAAAAAATAAAATCTGACAGAGTTTAAAAATATATATATATATATTTTAATCAACAGTTACTAATTGATCTATAAATTAACAGAATTATACAAACCGGATATTACATTATGGGAGTAGGATTCTATGATGGAACAATCCCTTTCATTGACCTGTACAGAAAGTTTTTATCTAATGAAATCCCCCATTAAACCAGAGCTGTTTTCCTCATAAATTGTTCTTACGGTTTAAATATATCACTTTCAGAGAAATATTATATAATAGCCGAAAGCCACATTTAAGAAATATGTAAGGTAAAATTTTCTCAAAGTTAGGCTTGTGATTTATTTAAACAAATATGTTTAGAGTATTTGTTTGAGAAGTCCATAGTTGAAAACATTTTATCATCACACAATATAATTGGCTCAAGTGCTCAACTACATCATAGTTTTTCTTTATATAAAAGCTACCATATTTTTTTCAAACTATCATAGTTATAGAAAGAATATTGGCTAAACTTGAATATTTTTATTTGATGAACACTATAGGAAAGTATAAGAATGTGTTCTAAAATGTTTGAATTGTCACATTTTATATATTAGTACTGTTTTTTTTTTTTTACTTTCGGACAATGTAAAATATGTATAGAACTCTTCTAATTAATAAAAAGATGATACTTTTAAACTTTGAACCTTTTTTGTAAAAAAACTTTGAACCTTTATAAACCTACTTACCTAAGCAAAATGATTATATACATATCATATGTGATGAATCGTCCTTACAATCCCAAATGTACCAAAGATCGATAACTTGATTCGTTTTCTCGGGAATAACTCTTACTTACACGTATAATTGAAAAAAAAAATTATTGTGACTTGTTAACATATTCAAAAAGAAGAATGTATTATCTAGCTATCATGTATAGGTTCTCATAGCATTTCTAACTCACTTCATAATTTACTGCAAAATAGAGGAAAAAATAGAGTGATGAATAAACAAAAAAATTCATTATTCCAATGGAATGGAAAATGGAGTAATGACTTTTTTTGTTTGTCTATTCCTCTATTTCTCATTTTATTTTATAGTAAATTATGGAGTGGAGTTGGAGATACTCTCAAAACTTAAGTTCACGATGGTTAACAATACTCTATTCCACGTGAGCCGAAATGCGGTCCATTTAGAAGCTTATTATGATGTCTAATTTAAAATGACGTATCTAAAATTTCACATGGAAGAGTACAAACAAATCTTAGTCCATTTAAAAGCTTATGATGTCTAATTTAAAATGACGTATCTAAAATTTCACATGGAAGAGTACAAACAAATCTTAGTTTATCAAATACATTATTATTTATATATACTAACTCTTTCATACGAAGTACACAAAAACAATTTAAAGAAAGGCTTTAAAACCCTAATTCGTTTCTATAAATACCAAAACCAACTTCACACAAATCACAGAAAAACCTTTCATTTACAATTCTCTTTCACACCATCACCTTTGTAAGCTATAAGTGATGGTAACCAGAATCAATGTCTTGTTTATCTTCCTATTCACGACGATATTTTTCAATACTTCCAACATAACCCAAGCAAGACAACATAAAAACCCTAGTTCCTCATCATCTTCCTTTCTTGTTCTTGCCTTGACCAAATCAAGTGTTTCGCTTCCCACACCAAAGTCTCAAACCCAAGAAAGAATCAAGAAGCCTTTAGAATCATCAATAGGTGCTGAAATGGAGCCCTTGAGAGAAGTGAGAGATGGTTATTTGATAACCTTAAACATTGGAACACCTCCACAAGCAGTCCAAGTGTACATGGACACAGGGAGTGATCTCACATGGGTCCCATGTGGGAATCTAAGTTTTGATTGCATAGATTGTTACGATTTTATGAACAACAATCTAAAATCATCGTCAGTCTTTTCTCCTCTTCACTCATCCTCATCTCTTAGAGCCTCTTGTGCTAGTTCTTTTTGCGTTGAGATTCATAGTTCAGACAATGCTTTTGACCCTTGTGCAATAGCTGGTTGCTCTGTGGGTATGCTTCTCAAGTCCACTTGCTTAAGGCCTTGTCCCACCTTTGCGTATACGTATGGTGAAGGTGGTCTTGTCTCTGGAATACTAACCAGAGATATATTGAAGGCTCAAACAAGGGACGTCCCAAGATTTTCCTTTGGGTGCGTTGCATCCACTTACCACGAACCTATAGGCATTGCCGGATTTGGAAGAGGTTTGCTATCTCTCCCATCGCAATTAGGGTTTGTTCAAAAGGGATTTTCTCATTGTTTCTTGCCTTTCAAGTTTGTCAACAACCCTAACATCTCAAGCCCTTTGATCTTAGGAGACTCTCTTTTATCCGGCAATCTCACAAACTCTTTGCAGTTTACTCCCATGTTGAATACTCCAATGTACCCTAACAGCTACTACATTGGCTTAGAATCCATTACAATAGGTACAAATGTCACCGCCACACAAGTTCCCTTAACGTTGAAACAGTTTGATTCACAAGGAAATGGAGGAATGTTGATCGATTCAGGTACAACTTACACACATTTACCCAATCCCTTGTACTCACAAATCATCACAAGTCTCCAGTCAACGATCACATACCCTAGAGAAACGGAAACAGAATCAAGAACAGGCTTTGATCTATGCTACAAAGTCCCATGTCCTAATAACAATCTCACTAGTCTCGAAAACGACGCAGTGATGATGTTTCCTTCGATCACGTTCCATTTCTTGAACAATGCAGCCTTAACTCTTCCGCAAGGCAACTCGTTTTACGCAATGAGTGCACCTAACGACGGTTCGGTTGTGAAATGCTTGTTGTTTCGGAACATGGAAGATGGAGACTACGGTCCGGCCGGGGTTTTTGGGAGCTTTCAGCAGCAGAATGTGAAGGTTGTTTATGATTTGGAGAAAGAAAGAATAGGGTTTCAAGCTATGGATTGTGTCACGGAAGCTGTTTCACATGGACTTTACCAAGGTTCGTGAACAGAAAAAAATCATCAAACTTTTGATGAGTTGTTTTTCGAGTTTTTTTTTTTCTGTTTGTTTGTAATGTTTGAAGCTGTTTCCATGTCTGTAGTGTTTGTTGGATTATTATCTTTTGATTAAGTTATGTTTGTAATTTTATAATTGAGAGCCTTTTGGGATTAATGATTAGGGTTTTTGAGCTGGAGACCTTAACCAAATATAGAGAATGAGTTGGGACTTTTTCTTGTTTTGGTAATTGCAATAGTTGGAACTTATAAGGAACATGTCGTCGTGGAATACGAGGTGTATTCATCGAAATGTACAAGAGGACAAAACTACATGATCTGTTAACGCATAAAAATGCATTGTGACTATTATTAAATTATACCTAAATATTAACTTAGTTTCAGTTTAAAACTGAAAAATACAAATTAAACTTATGCCCAACAATATATCTTAAATCAAAAACATTCTATAGAACAAACTGCCTCTAAACACTGTATAAAACTAAAATTTGGTTATAATAAAAATGGTTGAATAATTTTCATACAAATATATCTACTTGAAATGTTATTTTGAAAAACCTTCTGCAATAAGCGCATAAACTAAAATATAACATATACAGCTAATAAAATAAAATATAGAAACAATAAAAACATGTGATTAGTCTTCTTAAACTTTAACTATGTTCTTTCATATGTGTTATTTCCATTATTTAAAAAACACATTAGAGATTTTTCATATAAATATTAATTTGTTGATATTAATGAAAAAACTCGGTCGAATGCGCGGAACCAACTTTGGTGTTAATATCTATCTTTTTGTATTTTTATATTGTCTTATCATTTACTTGTATTTTGCTTATATTTCACTTATATTATATTTATAAAATAATCAATTAGCAAACTTTATATGAAAACTATTCTACTACAAAGATTCCAACTAAATTTTGAAACTATAAACTCAGAAAGATCAGACTCATAGTAATATCCCACGACTAGCCAGATTTGAGAAAAGACTAAACTCGCTTGTTCCTCTTTCAACTATTGAGTCCCAAAATGTTCATGATTGCATACTTTGAAGATTATTAGTATAGTTAACCTGATATGCATATCTACCAAAAAAAACTAAATTTTATACTAAACATGCAATTTTTTAGTTTCTTTGAATAGTTGGTTAAAGGTTTTACATCGTATTCCTCCTAGGCAGCATATAGAATTCTTTGGAGACTATGTCTATAGAATATAACAGAAATATAATATTCCTCCTAGGCAGCATATAGAATTCTTTGGAGACTATGTCTATAGAATATAACAGAAATATAATATTATGTATTGTATTTGATATGAGAATACTTGATGCATATAAATAACAGTAACACTAATATAATGAAAATACCAAATACTGCTATCAGTATATAAAGCTAATGTGAATATGAGTCATTTCTAACTGTTTTGAAACCTGTACATCTTAAAACACTATTACAAAAATAAAAATTAACCATGCTGACTGAATTTCACTCAATTGTTTCCCGCCTTGTAGTTGTATTTTTCAAGATTTTGTTTTTATATATTTTCGAGATATTAAACTGTAAGAATAATAAAACATGAATATTATCAACTGATTTGAGTGTAATATTCATAATTTATAAAAACATGCATTTTGTAACTAGCTTTGAAAAATATATAATGATATAGAGTTTTACACTATATTTGTTATGTGTTGATGTAGAATAAAAATGGTTGTTATTTTAACTTTTAGCTTTTAAGAGCATCATTATAACAAATTTTTTAGGGTGGAGTTCTTAGAAAAAAATAAAAAAATTATTTTTAAAAAAATTGAGTACAATTCAGTCAGAAGTTCTTATGCTAAAAGTAAATTACAACTAAAATAAAAAAAAAGAAAAATAAAATGCTTTACACAATAAACTGTTGATGTAAAAAAGACACCACAAAGTACTGCAGAAAGTAAACTAAGAGACAAATATTACAAGCAAACACTTATGCTTTATTAAAATCTCTTTTAAACAATTTATTACAAGATCTGCTTAATTCAGTTTTTACACGTCTAGTGTTAACACTCTAACACACGCTACTGCTTATGTATCTCCTCCGTCAAGTGCTTCAGCCACTGCTTCAGCACGACCCAAGAACACTTCCAAGAGTTTTTCTCTTTCACTATAAGATTAGTCTATGTGTCTCTCATTCTTTTTAGACGACCCCATAGTTATCTTATAGTTATTCTTCATGTTCCCGAAACCCTATTTTTCAAGGAAACATGTATGGACATCTTCCATATCCATAAGTGCAACTTTCTTTTTCTTGAAATGCACTTATTCCTCTTCTCTTAAGTCATAAATTTGTTATTCAAATTTATTCCTCTTTCCATATTTCCAAGATATTCTCTTACTCTTCAAGTCTACACGACTCTAGCTTAGCATTTTGACTTCACATGGTTTTCACCACTCAACACAACGTCTGTTTCAACAATTACGTTATCGACTACTTCAGAGCACACATCTTACATCTTCATAAAAAACTGAGTCCAACTGATGAAAAAATGATATCCAAGAATCGAAATAACGTGCATATGCAACGAATGACAGCAAACGATTTTTTTCGACGACAAATTAAAGAAGTTCAAATGTCTCTACTTATAATCTCTTCCATTAGGTATGGAAAACATATAAAACAGTCTCCTCCTCATCGTCCAATCCGAATTCATGAACTTAGTAGTAGGACCAATATGCTAAAAGAAAAACACAGATTAGTAAATTAGGAGTTCACCGTTAGATTCTATTTTGTTATGGGTGGTTTGTAGAATTATAGATAACATAGAGGGCACTCTCATAATTTCCATACTCTTGGGGGTTCTTCCTCACAAGTAGGGGTGGGCACTTTATCCGATACCCGAACTCGTACCCGAACCTGACCCGAAATATCCGAATCGAAATCCGAACCGAAGTAGCAAAATACCCGAACGGATATTGAGTTAGGAGAGTTTGGATATCCAAACCCGAACGGGTATTACCCGAACCCGAACAGGTATCCGAAGATAACCGAACATATGTATATATACCTATTTATTTCTAGTTTATTTGTCTCATTTTATTAAAAATATTTATATTAATGTTATATATAATTTAAGATCAGATAATATACATATAATTGTAAAAAAATAATTTGTTACTCATTTAAAATGCATATTAAGCTTCTTATTTCCTATTTTAAACAAAATTTGCATCCAAAATTCAAAAATAACAACTAAAATACTGATTTTTATTTTCAATAATTTATTTTCAAAGTTATTAATCATCTAACTTATTAAACATTTTAAAAACAATTAAGTTAATAGTTAAATTTTAAATACATGACACTTAAGTAATAAAGAATTTGAATTTTTTTTTCAAAATCTAAATATCCGAACCCGACCCGAAATAACCGAACCCGAACTAAAAATATCCGAACCCGACCCGATATGTAAAAATACCCGAACGGGTTCTATACCCCAATACCGAAATACCCGAAAACCCGAAATACCCGATCCGAACCCGAACGGGTACCCGAATGCCCATCCCTACATATCGTGGCGTATAAAATTTGTTACTTTGACTTTTCTCTCTTTTATTTTGCTTTCGAGAGAGCAATAGAGATTAGATTTGGTTGTGTGTTTTTGACGAAGAAGCTTCTCTCCTCTCCTCCTTTTGAACTTTTCTCTCGTCTTCGTTCGATTGTCAACACGTTTCGATTCCTCGGAGCTTCAGATCAACGATCATGGCCACCGCTGGAAACAAGAACATCAACGCCAAACTGGTCTGGTTTCTTATAAGATTCTTTGTGGGATCTTTTTCAAATCGTGAAATTTTGGTTGGATCGTTGATCTCCGGTGTAAATTCTGTTTCCAATTTTGGGGAATTTTGAATTGAATTTTCTGATTATGAAATCGGATTAGATTCTCTTGTTCAGATCTTATAGTTTATAAAGTTGCATGCTTTATCACTATTGAACTAGGGTTTGGAGTAAAGGCTGTATCTTTATTGAATTTTGTGTAGCTACTTCGTTTGTATTGTATCTGATCCCTGTGTGTGTGTTTTGTCTTGTTACTATGATCTATATGATGATTTTGCTTATGGGATGATTATAGTATCTAAGAAGTATCATTGTATCTAAGATCAAGTAGGCTCTTTTTGTTAGTGATATGTGACTTTTGTTAGAGTAATTTAGGTATGGTTAGGTTAGGGTGTTTTATTTAATGAGTTTTAGTGTTTCACTTTATTTATTAGGCTTTGATATTATCTTTCTATGTTAGTTTTTTTAGTTTCTGCATTAGTGTTATGATTAACTTGTATTAAGACCTATATAAGGGTCTCTATTGATTAATTTGAAATCAACTTCCAAGAATTAAATTTAATCTAGGCTAGAAGACTGTTTCTGTTTCCTTCCTTTATTATTGTTTTGGTGGGTAATGTGGTTGAGTTCTTCAGGTATTACTTGGAGATGTTGGAGCTGGAAAATCGAGTCTTGTGCTTCGGTTTGTTAAAGATCAGTTTGTTGAGTTCCAGGTTGGTTGGAGATTCTCTACTATTTTTTCTAGACATTTTCAGCGTATCTCTGTGAGCTGATTCTTGAGGTTTTGTTTACAGGAATCAACCATAGGTGCAGCTTTTTTCTCACAAACATTGGCTGTGAATGAGGCAACTGTGAAGCTTGAGATATGGGATACAGCTGGTCAGGAACGTTACCATAGCTTGGCTCCTATGTACTACAGGGGTGCTGCTGCTGCCATTATTGTCTTTGACATTACTAATCAAGTACAGATTCTTCTCAACCCCTATGATCTAGTCGCTAACTTGTGCTGATCAGTAGTGGCGTTTAAATTTTGCTTAACTTATTTCTCTGTTGACACAGGCTTCTTTTGAGAGGGCAAAGAAATGGGTTCAGGAATTGCAGGCACAAGGTAAGAAATCGCTGAATATGGTTTAAATTTATATTGATTGCTAGTTTCATGATATATAGTTTCTATATAGTTGGTGAGGCTTATTTGCTATAATGGGAATATGACTCTTTTGTTGTTGTCGTGTGAATAGGTAACCCTAATATGGTGATGGCTCTTGCTGGAAACAAAGCTGATTTATTAGATGCAAGGAAAGTGTCTGCAGAGGTAAAAGAAAATGAAGCAATTCTTCTTCTAATGTTTATTAGCTGTTCCTATAGACACAGCCTTTGCATTTAAGAGGTGTTGTTAAGTAGCTCTTTGATAGTCATAATATTTGTCATTTGCACTGCAGGAGGCAGAGACATATGCTCAAGAGAACAGTCTTTTCTTCATGGAAACTTCAGCGAAGACTGCAACAAATGTCAAAGACATATTTTACGAAATTGGTGAGTCATTCTAGCATTATTCAAAGCAATTTCAAACAAATTGTTTTTGCTTTGCGGCTAAATTCCTTTCGCTTTCTTTGCTCAAACCGCTACAGCAAAAAGGCTACCACGTGTGCAGCCAGCAGAAAACCCAACAGGGATGGTTCTTCCAAACGGGCCAGGTGCTACAGCAGCGAGCGCATCATGTTGTGCTTAAGAGAGAGAGAGAGACATCTTGATTAGTCACAGTAGATCTCTCTTCTTCTTATCTTGACATTATCGCTTTGTTTTGCTTGCATTGACACCAAAAGTGTATATCCAATGATATTTCAAACCTTGTGGAATTTGGATCTCATTTGTAATTAAATATCATAACTTACTTGCGTGTGTGTTTACATCTATGTATTTGTGCACCAGTTTCCATTTTACTTGTCTGAAATTCTCTACGTTTGTTTTGTCTCGATGAATCGAATTAACATGAGTGTGATATTTAGAAATCTGATTTTTCAAGTAATGCTTTTGTTTTAATTGTTATAAATAATTTTTATTGTTATTTATATTACTTGGAAATAGAAAATTAAATTAAAATTTAATTAACAGAAATTACTAAATGGAATTTTTTTTTCTGTTTTGTTTTATGAGGTTTTCACACGTTAAGAAATATTAAATTTTCTAAGATGCCTCTAATTTATACAATGTTTTCTTTTGTTATTAATGTGCTGAAAGCTAGAGATAAAAAATGACAAAAGTATTAAATATGCCATTGAAAATATAAAAAAACACTTATAATAGAAGATATTTTAAAGTGTACAATGACATTTAAAATGAAATAAAGTGGATAGTAATTAAATATAATATGATCAATCTATTAATATTATTTTGTAATTAAACGCCTTAATATACATAAGAATATTATCCTATTTCAATTTAATTGTTGTTTTAGATTTTTGTACACAAACTAAGAAAACATCTAATTTTACGTATTTTAAGATAAAAATATAATTATTTATATACCTAACCATTTTTCAACTAATAGAAAAATAGAATAGCATACAAAGTATACAACAATATTTATTTTAAAATGAAAAAATTTACTCTACAAAGATAAGTAAATTGAAATAGTGGGAGTATTATAGCAATTTTGGAAATTGGGCATTGAACTGTCTTCCTCGTACTTCTGGGTCGACAAAAGAGAAGAGAAAAGATATTGTATTTCCTCGACAATCTCTACTATGTAAATACAATTTCTTTTATTTCTTTTGTCGATCGAATGAATTATTTTCTCGGTTATGTTAAAAAGGTATCATTTTCTCGGTCACTACGTAAATGACAAACTATAAAATAATCTACATTACTTTTAATATATTATCATGCAAACTAGCCATTTTTTTATCAAACAGAGAGTAAGGTAGATCTACGAGAGAATCGAGCAAGTCCAGGGAAGACTTGGTACTCATGGCACTGACACTTTCGTTCGTTCACATGACAATATGACATATATATTTTCACTTTGAGCAACAATAAGGATGAATAAATTCCAACGTCCATGCGCTGTCCCATGTACCTTTTGGGAACTTTGCGAAGTTAGGGCATGATTATCCGGGATTTCTTAGAACATATTTTTCATGTACCGTTTAGGAAAAAATTAAGAAATCGTTTCTTAAAATAATGATTTGTTAAGAAACGGTTTCTTAATTTTTTAGTTAAAAGTTAAGAAATAATTTTTTATTTTGTTTTAAAAAAATCTGTTCTAAGAAACTGTGGATAATCATGGTCTTGAACTATGACTGGGTGGATTATCTAGAGGAGCAAATGATTTGCTTCTAGTGAAATGGACAAAAGTCTGAACTCTAACTCACGATGGTTCCCTTCTGTTTAACCCTTGAGGGATTTTTCAAAGAGAACCGTTGCTTTGATTTCTCATTCAACATAATATAAATAAATGCCTTTAGATAAGTTTAAATCTGATATGAATTATAAAAGCGTCAACCAACATAAAAAGCATAAAAATATAAAATTAAACAAAACGATTGACTATATATATGAATTCTGCTAGAGTTTCTGTTTCGTAAACTGCGTATATGAATTTTTAATAATCGTAAACACCCCTTTCTATAATCTCCAAAACACTCTCATACTACATTCCAAGTTTTAAGTCACATTTGATCAACATTTTTTCATTTTATCTTATAGCAACTCAAATAATTTAGCTGAATATAAATATTATATGGTCGGAGTAATATCAGTCCAACGTTGATTATTAATAAGTGGAAGTCTTAAACTTGAAGCAAATTAAACCGTAAATTTTGAAGAGATCCTGAGATAACTTTTACGGCTGAAAATCGGATTCTTTGTCCTCACCTTAAGATATCCACCCGTGTATAAACTCCAGGTCTTTCTTTTAAGGTTTCTTAGAATTTTTAGTCATAGACGAAGAATCTCCCCTTCCCACAGATTCATTGTTGCCATATCTAATTGGATAGCCGTTATATGTAGGTCTCGTCTCGGTAGAATCTGAGATATGATGAAGTCGAAGTTCCGAGGCAGAGAGGTCTTTCGTAGAAGGCTTGAGGGGTTTAGAGTTTTTAGTCATGGATGAAGAATCTTCCCTTTTAGCAGATTCGTGGTCGCCATATCTAACTGGAAAACCGTCATAGCCTACGAACGCATTAGGTGGACTCACTGGGTTTCCCTTTGTAACATTCAAGGCTTTCTTAGAACTCTTTGTTGTCTTTGAAGAAACTTCTCCTCTTTCGACAGGCTTGTTTGTAGAAGAATTTTGGGTTTGCGCCGAGGGAATGTCTTGTAGCATTTCCAATACGTTCTTGACGATACTGTCGATGAACTCTCTCTCTGTGCTGCTGCTAAAACTAATTAAAAAGACAAAACGGGACACTTCAGTTATATTAAAGGTCACCAATAATCAAACTAGTATATCTATGAAGTGAATGTATCATTTGAACTAACCAAATAGATATATAAAGTTATGAGTCTCACATTTATAAGCGTAAGAAGTTTAATTTAATATGTAATAGATAAAATCCCTTAAAATAGATTGAGTTTGACATAGAAATTCACACATTTTGACATGGACCAATTTAATCTTTGAACTTGGAGAAGTAGCTATCACTGATAAAGTATGCCCAGTCCAATAGTATTGAGAAGTTTAATTGGAAGATTAACTCTAAGCTCTAAAAATATGGCATTTGGGTGGAGTTTATAAAATTTATTTTTCATCACAGTATCCAAACGGAGATTCAAAGAATCTTTTGAAATGAAAAAATAAATGTGGTTCAGATCAAGAAAAAAAATATTAGTACCCGTTATTATCTATGAACGGACATCCAAGCTTACAAGAGATACATGCTAACGCCTCTTTCCATTTACCGATCTTGTTTTGCTCGTGCGTAGATCGATGACGCTCAAGATTGGAACCAAATTCGCCAGTAAGATATTTCACATTGTCTGTAGTCACATTGTAGAAGATGGGAACCACCTTGTGATAGAGAATATGTAATATTCCCAAAGTTAGTATATACCATCTTAAGATGTGCATATATCTACACTAACAAAACTGGTCTAGTTCTTAGCTCAATATTATATGTTCTTACATAAAAAAATAAAAAATAATCATAGATCACACCTTGAGCTTGCCTAGATCTGCACGTTCTTTTATCTTCACAAGCTCATCCAAGCACCATCCTGATTCCGTGTATCTTTTTGAAAAAACGGCTAGTGCTATCTTTGACTCCTCGATCCTATTGAAAAGATTGCTTAGATCTGCACCCTTTTTCTCCTGCTTGTCTGTGAAGAAGTTGATCTCCTTTCTTTGAAGGGCCTCCACGAGATGGCTGATGAAGTTTTTTCGCAGCTCATCCCCACGGAAATTGATGAAAACTTGATGTTGTGGTGGAGGAGGGACTTTGCGATCCATTGGAGGGTTAGGATAGAGATCTTTTACCAGAAGAGTAAAGAACTAAAGAAGAGGATTAGGGTTTATTGTGGAGATGCTAGGCTTTTAAAATTCAAAAATGCATACGGGTAGCCGTCAACTTTGAAAGGAGGGATAGTCATCAACACTCATTTTAGTCTTTTTTTAAACATTAATAATTTCTGTCTTTCTTTATTATATATATCAAAAACAGTCCAATAAATGACTTGAGAGATGAACAAATTAGTTTTTTTTTATATACAGTTACTAGTTTTATTGATCTTGGAAGGAAATATCTACATGAAAAAACAGTCCAATAAAGACTTGAGAGAGTGAATCTTGGAACCTCAATGAAAAGGTGTCTTTGAAGGTGGAGACAACTCGCTTATCAAGTGTTTCGAATTACTCGATCAAGCTTTTTAAAATTTTAAAACTGTGGAGATCCGAGTGTGAGAGAACATGCATTTTTAAGAAGAAAAAGAGTGATAAACAGGCAAGTTAAAAACTTACCCTTAATAATAAAATAAAACTCAAATAAGTTACGTAATTACTGTTATATGCATCTTTAGATAGAAATCACGGTATTAGTATGACCGTTGTACCGTTAACATGAATAGGACGATAAATAGTGAAGCTTGTGATTTAAACGATCCTTGACATTAAAGTCCATTGATTGATTAGAGCACCCACAATGGAAAGTCTTTAAAACTAATATTTCCCTAACGACTGGCCTTGAGGATTTGATATTGTGGGTGTTCTTATAGAACCAACAACATAATGAGAAATTTTGAAGATGTAGTAATAATTATAGAGAAACTAGTCAAACTACCGACCAGAACACATATTTTTTAACAGAATAAAAGTACAAAGAAAAGGACGTTAGTTTTGTTAATGTGGCTCACATGGATAGACATCATCTTGTCCCGTTTGTTCATTGCATTGGATTTTGTATTCGTAGGCGCATGTTATGGCATAGTAAACAAATAATTGCTCCTCTGTTTATCAAATATTAACAGTCTACGCTATTTCTTCCAAAGTATTTTACATCTAAAATGATAACCGTACTGACTCTAATGTAAAGGTCTATAAAACCATTTGGTAAGTAAACAAAACTAGTTAAAAGACTAAACGAGTAGCAAAATATAAAAGTTAACATTCTAATTTACTATGATATCATCGCGTGTTAAATTAAATAAACATAATCTATGCATACAAACCCGTAGTTGCTAACTAAAGAATATTGAGCTCTTTTTGTTGGGCCATGGGTGCTTTGCAACAGATTGCCCCTTCAAGAAGCAAAAACTTCCTCTAATGTTAAGCTGTTATGTCTGTTATCGCCAAAAAACATTTGCAATGAAATTCGAGTGATGGTCACTATAGACAACTCAGCTTTTGCATTTCTGAGTTGTGCTGTTAAGTAGATCTTCAACAGTCATATGGCATGCCTATCATCTTTGCAGCAGAAACTCCAGATTGACTAACAGAAACAAGTACACAGTTTTCTATAGGCAAATCCAGCGTATTCCACAGCAGTACACAACGCAAAAACAATCTTTTCAAGTATGGAGAAAGTAAAGATATCTTATTGCTCTTGCTCAGTTCAGGTATGGAATTGAGTTTTTTTTTTTCTCTTGTAGAGAAGAAGAGAAAGTTCCACCTCTCTCAGATGAGCTTGTGTCAATGTCCACACTTAGTTTTAGCATCGAATGCAACTTCTTCTGCTATTTTTTTGTTTCTTAGCTAAGAATTTTTTTTTTTCTAAGAGGATGAGACATTACTGCAAGTACAAAGGGAAGATCTTCAAAAGTACTTCTATACCTAGACTTGAAGAAACTCCTTCACTAGTATCCATGGTGATCCTTGCCTCAAGCTTTTGATCATCTTGTTGAACTTAATGCCTTATAGTCCAGCTTCATGAACTAAGGTAGGCTAAATTCCTTCTTTTTTTTTTTTTTTTTTCTGTTATGATATTAACTGATGTATAGATTTATGTTTTTCAGAGTCTAGTAAAGTTGAAGATAGTAATTCTAAGCCACTCTCAGCAACTAGTTGAAGTTGATGAACTCTCGGAAGCTTGTAGTCTTGAGAAAATCGATCTTCAAGGTTGCATTAGCTTGGAGAGTATCCCACACACTGATCAGCTAAAGAATCTTCAACTTATGAACCTCTCTGGTTGCACAAGAATCAAACGTGCAGAGATTAAAAAGAAGATAAAGGGATTGGATCTAGAAGGCGGCTTAAGAGAAACCAAATCTGAATCAATGGTGTTCTCCACTTTAGAAGGAATGCTGGAACACGGGGATAACACAGAGACCTATTGAAATACTAAATTATATCTACTATGTTGAAGACCTTTGTTGTGCTGTTCAAATATTCAAGATACGTCTGAAAGAAGATGAGAAACTTTTAATTTGAAACGTTGTTCAATATTTTATCTATGCTTAGAAAAGACGACTAGTGGAAGATAGTATCACTGGTATGTCTTTACTCTTTTTTTTCTTTAGCTCAGTTTTGTTTCCGTGGAAGAGAAGCTACTGTTACTCGATGAAGAGGAACTCATTAAAAACTGACAAGGAAGTAAGACCAACGCACTTCAGTTTTGGTGTAATCTGTGAAAATACAAAATAAAATTCCAAGTCAGCAAAAAACTATCCGAAGCTCAAATTCGTTTAAACTGATTACAGAGATTACAAACCCTAGCACAGTTCCATAAACTGGTAACCTTGCTATAAGGCAGCCTAATAGTGTTCATACAGATAATGGCTTGGTGGTCTATGAGATTCAAGAACAGATGGTACTCATGAACAGTTTCCTCTAGTAACAGCATAGACCCTTAAAGTCCAGAAAGATAGCCATTACAGATTATCATTATGGAGACTAGTTAAGGAACCCGTACGATATCGCACGGAAACTCATTTTTAAAATAAATATTAAGATAATCTCTTGCGAAAATATAAAACAATCAGCTTATAAATGATACCTTCATATTCACTAACACACCAACATTAAAATATTTACTGTTTTGTTTTGTCAAAACAATGGTGAACCGTTAGATTAAAAGATGTGATAATCTCAGCCATTATTTCTTTTTTTAATTATAGGATTATGAAAAGATACGTCTGTTGTATCTGATATGTGTTGTTTCAAAGAGTTCCCAAAACAATTTAGCGGATGACGTAATTTATTTAAGGCAAGATAATTTTATATCCCTTAAATGATACTTAGATGAATAGTCAAGGTATATTTCACACTTATGTTTAATAGATCCTCCAAAGAAATCACAAACAGAAAATGCAGTAAAGCAAATAAAGATAGAAAGCTGATATAGTTAGCTATACATACTATTTGTAAACAGAGAATGGTCATTTATCTTAGATTAGTTGGTTAAGTACTGGTTAAATGTTGGTTAGGTACTAGTTCGGTTTACTTGTAAATACCGGGTACCTATATATATGTGTAAATGTATCTGTACAGTTACAATTAATGTGAATAACAAACTTTTACATTTAGCTCAAACTCTCTCTCTCGAAGCTCTCATTCATCATCTTCTTCTCTTCGATCGTTTGTTAATATGGTATCAGAGCTTTCTCATTGAGTTTCCGCTTGGATCGATTCACACTATGAGTGCTTCGATGATGTTGATCTCGCGATTCTTCGTGTTCTTGCTCATCGCCATTGTTGAAGCTTTTCAGGGAGTTTTGAGTTGCTTTCTCTTTCTGATTCTTTTTGTTTCTCTTTGATTGACCTATCACGAACGATTTCTTTTCTTTTTCATCGTTTCGTTTCAATTGATTTGGTTTTTGGATTCTTGATTCACATCTCATGGCGGATCCAGATTCTGAATCGCGTAATCCGGTGGCGAATGATACATCGCGTTTTCCGACGGATCAGTATGCGAATCCTTACTATTTGCATCATACTGATCATCCTGGACTTGTTCTTGTTTCAGATCGATTGAATACTGCATCGGAGTTTCATTCTTGGAGGAGATCTGTGCGTATGGCCTTGAATGTGCGTAACAAGTTAGGCTTCGTTGATGGTACTATTCCTCGTCCTCCTCTTACTCATAGAGATTATGGCGTGTGGTCTAGATGCAATGATATTGTTGCCACTTGGTTGATGAATTCGGTTTCCAAGAAAATTGGACAGAGTCTTTTGTTCATTTCCACAGCAGAGGGTATTTGGANTCCTCGTCCTCCTCTTACTCATAGAGATTATGGCGTGTGGTCTAGATGCAATGATATTGTTGCCACTTGGTTGATGAATTCGGTTTCCAAGAAAATTGGACAGAGTCTTTTGTTCATTTCCACAGCAGAGGGTATTTGGAACAACTTGATTTCGCGTTTTAAACAAGATGATGCACCTAGAGTGTATGATCTTGAGCAGCGTTTGAGTAAGATAGAACAAGGTTCCATGGATGTCTCTACTTACTATACGGAGTTGATTACATTGTGGGAGGAGCACAAGAATTATGTAGATCTTCCGGTTTGTACGTGTGGTCGTTGTGAGTGTGATGCTGCTTCATTGTGGGAGAAGTTGCAGCAGAGGAGTAGAGTAACAAAGTTCTTGATGGGCTTGAATGAGTCGTATGAGCAGTCTAGGCGTCATATCCTTATGTTGAAGCCAATGCCTACGATTGAAGAAGCTTTCAATATTGTTACTCAGGATGAGAGACAGAGAGCTATTAAGCCATCTACGAAGGTTGATAACGTTGCTTTTCAGGCCACAGTGACTCCTACGGTGCCTACTACTCTGGATTCTTCCTTGATGACATTGGAGAATAGTGCGTATGTTGCTGCTTATAACACCATTCGACAGCAGAATCAGAGACCTATTTGTACACATTGTGGTAAAAGTGGTCATACGATTCAGAAATGCTTTAAGTTGATTGGGTTTCCTCCAGGATATAAGACAAATGGTTCTGGTTATGGATCAAAGAATCAATATCCTCCGAAGAATCAACAGCAACAGCAACAGCAACAAGCTCGTCCTGTTCAACAACAACTTACTAGTTCTACTGTTCAACAGGCTAATGCTATTGCCAATGTTCATTCTGATCTTGGTATCTCCAAATATCAGTATTCTCAACCTGGAGTCC